TTATCTGATGGTAGATTATGTATCCTGCTGAAATGTATTTCAACTCTGGTATTCCAGCTGAATCTCCAAAGGCATAAGAGCACAAATGCAGGTGGGAAGGTGGCATTACCCTGCAAACATCATCTCACCTGCTTGGTGCTGTTGTAGGTGGAGTTATGAGGTGATGCGACTGTCCCACCGTTCTGCGACACCGTCACCTGGCTGACACTGCTGGGCACCCCCAGCACTTTGATTTCAGTAAACTCTAAGTTATTTGGGTCGGTGTAGCCACCATGCAGGACCCTGATATCTAGAACAGTCTGCAAAGAAAAGGAAAAAAACCCCAAATATCAGAGATTAGACTGGCACAAGCCCTGAGATGCTGTGGCTGCTCCATCCCTGGAAGTGTCCAAGGCCAGGTTGGACAGGTCTGTGTCTTTAATTTCCACTCAGCTGAACGACGTGAAGTAACATAAAGTTTTTAACCCCTGCCATGGGCAGCAAGTGCTGCAGGACAAACTCCCTCCTGCACTCCCAGCTGAGGGCAGAGCTGCTCCAGGTTCTGCTCTCCCTGCTTTGTGCCTCCCAGAACAGCTCCTGCATCCCCATCACCCCCTCAGCACTCCCAAGGTCCCCCCTCATTCCCAGTCACTGGGATTTTAAATACATCCTGGGCACACAATTCCTTTAGGATGTTGCCCAGATCCCGTGCAAATGTGCTGTGACACAACTCTGCATATTTAGTGCTTAGAGGGAATTACTTTTACTGTGAGTGTTTTTCATTGTTGGTTGATTCAAGACCTTTTTAATTAAGCTTTTCCTTACCAAGTTTTTGTAAAAAAAAAAGGGAAAGGTGCATTTACTTTGTAATCTCCTTACAACTGCAAATACTATTAGCAAAACAAACTTCCTTAGCGATTAACACCCTTTTATTTGACAAAGACAGAATTAAATGAGAAGAAAGAACAGTGTGGATAAAATTGGAAGACATTCTGACACCCTGGATAACTAATGAAATAAGAAAGTGTGTTTTCTACTACAATAGAAAGAGCATTTCTTTTAAACCAAAAGTCCATATAATTAGAGTCTAATTTTATTCCAGTTATTCACATGATAAAAATTGAAATCTGACAATGTACTACCTACTTAACAAAACACTGTAATTTATAACTTCAGAATCACTCCTAAATTCATTCTCAGCACAGTTTAATCATATCACTTGCAGTTTATTCAATTGTGAGCACAATTTAATGGTGGGGGGATATATAGACACCATAAAGATCCAAATTAAAATACCCATATAGTTAAAATACAATAATAATCACCTAAAGTGATTGTTCAAAAAATGTGAGCTGGTGTGACTTACCTGATTAGCAGTGAATGATGTCAGCAGATATTCACCCTTTTCATATGCATCTGTCAGGAAGAAAGAATAAAATAAAACGTATTTTCTATCTTCCTTATGTAACACAGTATCAAAATTTCAGTTGAAGAATTGTGTCCATGCATTACACACAAATATATAATATGTATCTGTGTGTAAATAAAGAGAAGTTGTACATTTCCAGAAGATATATTAGATATCAAATACTTTCAGTATTTAGTGTGTGCTGCTTAAATGAAGCCAAAAGAACATTTTAGAGATAAGAGATATATATATATATATAAAAGCAATGAAACAGCATTAGGAAGATCAGGGGTGTTTAGATCAGAAGGAGAAAGATGTTTCTTTCTCACTGAGGATTCATTTCCCACACCCACCTCTTATTCCCTGTCCAATTCCACGTGACACACGACCATGATAAAGGCTGATACATCTTTGAAATTGTTGTTGTATATTTTACCTGTTATTCAGCCTTAAATGCACTCAGAGCAGTGCTGAGAGTCACTGGAATGAGGTTCCTGCCTTTCCTCACTACTGAAAACAGATCACAGGCACCTGCTGAGATGCACCTTGTAATCCATGTGAATTCCTTTTATCATCAGGCTTCCATAAGCATGGCCATCACTTCTGGATTCCAGTGCTGACAGGAATGTTGTGTGTGTGAAACCCCTCAAGATGCACCAACAGCATTCTACAAGCTTCCCTCCACACCATTATGCAAAACAGCCCCCTTTTCTTCATTCCCTGCAGTAATTTTGGGTGACATTTTATTGTTACTACAGGGGTGATGATGCTCTCTGGATGGAAAGGATAAATGAAGTTTAAATATCCCTTATCTGAAATGCAGTGGTGTTGAGGAAATCGGTTCAAGCTCCCACATAATCTGTGGTTATGGCTCCCATAGGTTTGAGGATGAGTCTTTGTGCTGCCTTAGGCCCAGGGCACAATTTCATTTACACAACATATTAATTCTGTAAATCGTAGCATTATGGGGATTAAATCAAGAAAAGTCATGTTTCTGTAGTGGTTTAACTTCAGTTTTGTCTCTGAAGGCAGGTTCAGGTATCTCCTCCAGAAATGTGATGGCTTTGCCCAGAGCCCATCGTTTCCACCTGCTCCTAAAACCCCTCCTCAAACACCCCCCCACCTCTGCAGAGCTCATTTCATGTCTCCCCACTCCCCACCCTTGGGTTTTGTTCTGTCTGTTTTAACCTGGGCTTTGAACATCTCCGAGGGTGGAGGCTCCACAGCCTCTCTGGGCAACCCGTTGCAGCGTTTGCCAATTCTCACAGCAAAAAAAAAAAGGGTTTTATGAAGGCAAGAAGCACCAGACGTACCAATGAGAACCCCATCATCCCAATAAAGGTGTCCTTCTGCAAACAGGCCGTCATCCAATGCCACCGTGAGCCCCATCGCGTTTTTCCGGCTGTGGAAAACACAAGTAATTTTCCCCTCAATTTCCTCAGCAGATCACGTTTTGTATTTCTCTAATGTTACAATTTTTAAAGGAACAACTGTACATCACCCAATTCACCTCCCATAACCACCTTCCCTAGCCTGTACCGTCAAATTTCAAAGAAGAAAAGCAAAAAGGAAAAAAAAAAGCCAAAAAAAAAGGTGAAAATTTTGGGTTAATCTCACCTGTAAAAAGTTGTCCTGGCGGGTTTTTGCCAAGGAAGGATATGCCCACCTCGGATGTGCAGGTTGATGTGATCCAAAGGAGCTGGGAAAACTCTGTATTGTCCCGTAAGGCCGACATTTTCATCCTATGCACAACAAAAAGTTAAGAAGTTTTACAAGTGGTTGGTTGTTGGTTTTGTTTGTTTGTTTGTTTGGGTTTTTTAGAATAAAATGATAATGTTTTTCTAGACAGATTAATCAGTAGTTGTTACTGCAGGAGTAACTACTAATGCTTTTAAGAGACTCTGAAATTTTGGCTCTGTGAAGGACTTGACTGGAGGTGCAGTAGCTCAACCAAAGGGACCAGTCAGGGGAAATCCAAACCTGTGATTAATGAAGTTTGATCCTTGCTCTTCCTATGACCAAATCTTTTATTATTTTCCAGGAAAGATGATGCAGCTAAACCTGCTTTGTCTTTCTACAGTCCAGCATTTCATTACAAAGACATTCTGTGTATAATCTGAGGGTTAAAAAAGTCAACTGGACTCTAAATTAAAGGCATTATTTCACTTTTTAACATGCCCAAACTCTGGGCAAGTTATTCTACGGTATTATACAGGAATCAAGGATTTATTTTTAAGCAGCTAAGTAGATTTTATATTTCTAAGAACTTATGTTAAGTGCAAACTAAGCAAGAGAGTGTTCCCACCTCCCCACCACTGGGAAGAGGACATAAAATACAATTTTTAAGTGACTTACTGTGTAGTAATCGTACCAGCGGGCACTGGGCAAGTAAGCCCTCACTGTTACAGCATTCTGGAATTAAACACACACGTTTTAGGCACCTTGAGACAAAAAAAGTTGAAGCTTTGATATTTTCCTAAGTGCTTCAGATAAACCCACCTGTTGCAACACGGGGCTGATGAGCAGGGCAGGTCCCCAGAGGAACTGCTCGTACACGTCCCAGGTGTTTTTGTCTTCCACAAACCTGTCACAATTAGACAATTGAGAGTGAACTTTTCCAGAATGTTCCTCCTTTAAGGCATTTCTGTCAGTAATTGGGCCTACCCTTCCTTCTGTCTACCCTTTCCTCACCTTTATTTTAGTGTTAATAATTCATAGATCGATTAATGGTTGCCAGGAACGCATAAAGATCCTAATGTGAGACTCATCAGAGAAATGCAAGTTAGCCTTGCTTTTTTACCTCTACTTTTTTTTTTTTTTTATTTGTTTGCTTTTGCTTTTCGGTGTATTTAGACAATAAAACTCTGAAGGCCTGTTGTGCCTGGCTGGTATTTGCAATAATAATCGTGGACAGGCAGGGAAGCAGTTTTTAATTTGTGCCATTATTGTCTTAGACAGTTTGCAAACAACTTGTCTTGGACACCCCATGCAAACAACTTGGTGTTCCTGCAAGACTTGGTTTTTTTGTTTTGTTTTTGTTTGTTTGGGGTTTTTGTTTGTTTGTTTGTTTTTAAGGGAAAAACGCCGAAATTAAAGGAAAACTTGGTGGGGAGATCTTAACTAGGGAAGTTTTAGGGGGAATTCCAGATAAGGAGTTGCACTTACTCATGGAATAGAGGCCGAACCACAGTGCTGCCACTGGCATGGGCATCGTGCATTAGTGTGTAGAGATAAGGCAACAGGGTGTATCTGACATTCAGCACGTTCTTGGAAATCTCCACAAATGTTGCGTTCCAGGAAACAGGATCTTGCCTCTGGAAGAGAAGAGACCGTTGTGAGTGAAGCTGGATTTTCTGGTGGGAACAGCTCCAAAAAAAAAAAAACAAAAAAATCAACATAGTAAGATAAATCCAAGGATATTTCTCCAACAAACACAAGCACTTTCGCTTGTTTTTTCTTAACTATAGAGCAAGTAACACTAAAAACAGTGGGAATCACTGTCAGCCCTAAGGGGGAAGCTGGGGGAAATACTCATAAAGAATGTTTAATGCAAAGTGTCCCCAGGGTGTGACACATCCCAGTGCACAGAATTTATCATCCCTCTTTTCCACAGGGCAGCTCTCTGGACTTGCAAGGAGACACCAAGCACCGAGGACTGATGTCAGGGAGCACTTCCAATCTTTATTAAATGTAGTGAACAATACCCTGGCAAATTGGGTAAGACTGGGAGCAACATGATAACCCTGAATCTGCATTTTTAAGGCTTTAACAGGCCTATCCAAAGGTGTGTCTCTGAGAGATAAAGCCCAGGGGGTTTGAAAAGGAGACTCTAATCCATTAGATATATTCCATATAAATAGCTCTGCTCTCCTAGACCTGAAGCTTTAACTGGAATAGAAGTGCTGTTTCCACTTTTTTCTCTTTTCCCAGTTATCTTGTTTTACAGCTTTCTCCACCCCAGTCCTTAGCCAGCACAGACCTACATTTAGGCAATTATTTCCCTTTCCTTTTAACAGAAATACAATATCTGATGGTGGCAAATGTGCAAAGCACAGACATTTCCCAGTCTGACTCCAGCATCTGATTACACTGCTGCATTTTCTCATTTGTTGGGTAATGATGGGCAATTAGGGCTGAGAGCACCGAGGCCAGTTTTGCTCCTTGAAGTGTGTTTGCCATCAAAGCTCAGTTTTAGTCTGGGTGTAGCACATTCCAATTAAACAGAGGGGGAAGCATGCAGGGGTTTGGTTCAGTCAAAGCAAAGTGAGAATGAGCCTCTTTCCAGTGATCCCAGTCCCTCTGTGGGCACAAAACCTCCCAGGTAAGGGGGCGGTTTACAGGAAAGAAAGTATATAAATAATGCCAATTTTTGTTTGATAAAAAGCCAAATGTGTTCTTTTCTTGTCCATTTCATTGGAACATAATTTTTATATTATTATTATTTTTTTGAGCCAGGCCACCCTGTGAATTGTTCTGGCAGCTCTTTGCATGCGTGGTGCTGTTAATAACCATTAAAAAGTTGCATCTCACCCTGGTTCCTTTCTGGTTGTGATTCCTGGAATATGGATAAAATGCACCCAGCTGCATCCAGCGAAGGCACATCTCATACTCTGCGTCGTAGAAGAAGCCACAGATATCAGCTCCTGTCTGAAATATTGAGAATGATCTGATTGGAATCCTGTAATATCATGTACAGCATCAGGATAATTGAATATAAGTTAATGACTTGTTAGCTTACATAAGACATTCCAAAGAGGCTGAAATCCATCATCCCTGAAAAGAAAAATAAAACTGCATTAGTGGCTGGGGTTTTTTTCCAGTGGTTGCATAGATAATACATATTGTAATGGTGAATGAGCAGAGAGAAAAACAAATACAGCCCCTGTGATTCCTCTGACATGTCATGTTTTTCTGCTACAGAAAGAGATGGGAGGTGGTTGGTGAGGGGACACAGGACACGAAAGTGGTGGGTATAAAAGACTTCCCCAGCACCTGTGGCAGAAGGAAGGAAGGAAGGAAGAAGGAAAGGAACAGAAGAGTTAAAAAGGAAGAATGAAAAAGGAACAGAACACAAATTCTGAGACCTCAGCTAAAGTGGTTTTTGAGCCAAAATCCCACGAATTACTGAAAGCAAGGAGGTGAAGGAGAAGCAAGGCCAGGGTGGACGGGGCTTGGAACAGCCTGGTCTGGCGGAAGGTGTCTCTGCCCATGGAATGAAATGAGGTCCCTCCCATCCCAAGCCCTTCTGACTCAGTGATTCCACGAGCACAGATGTTTCCCCTGCCCCTCACCAATGATGGATTTGCCGAGCTGATCCCACGCGGCCGCGTTGTCCCCCAGCCAGTGCCCTGCCCACCTCCCGCTGCTGGGGTAGGTGGAACGGGTGATCACGATCCCACGCTCCTGGGTGGCCTCATGCAGAGCCCTGCCATTCAAAGGAGACAAAGAAACCAGTTACATGGCAGATATTGCATGAGCTTTATTACATAAAATCACTCTGATTCGCACAAAGAGAACTGGTGGAAAAGATGGGCTTAAAATACAATTTTCCATCCCAGGCCAACTCCCGTGTGGGAAAATATGAATGTAGCCCAGCTTCCACATTTTCCAAGGGCTCCACAATGTGCTGCAGGGCACATCATTCCTTACTTCAAGTACCTGAAAACTTGTAGCTACAGTTGAAAATAATTTACCAAAAATCATAGCAGAAGGATCAGAAGAGAGAAAATAGAGGTGCCAAGAATATTAGACCTCTCGCTGTAAGTTTAGTTGACAAAAGGGTAATGGAACAGAAAACAAGGAGTCAGGGATTTGTCATCACTTCAGAGAAACACCAAGGTGACAATGTGTCAATATGAAATGTCCAACATGGCTTGGTTTAGAAGCAAACATGACAAACCAGTTGTTTTCTGCTAAACAACAATACCAGTCAGAAAGTAACCCTGATTAAATCCACTGCTCTCCAGTGCAAGCACCACCCTAATTGCCTAAACAGCTGCTTCATAAGGCACTATTTACTTATTTTTCTATAGGATTTGCAGCTTTAGTGGCACTCCAATTACAGCAAAGATACACAAGTCTCTTAAATTGCTGGAGCAATTAAATGAACTAATGTGCCACCTTTTCTTCCAGGACAAACACTGAATTTTCCTAGGATTTTTCATTCTTTGTAGCATACTTTCCAACATTTTCCAGCCTCTGCTGGGTTTCCCTGTGCCAATAATGCTTTGGAAATGGTAGCTAAAAGTTCCAAAGCAAAGACAGTGAACGTCACATGTCAAACTGCTCAAGGATGGGCACGACCTGAGTGTCCTGGGGCAGCTCTCTGCTCCAGGACTGAGCCAAGGCTCTATCCAGGAAAAGTAATTATTCGTGTCACAGAGGCTGAATTTACCCCCAGACAGTTCCTGTGTTCATCAGTGAGGGCTCTGGCTCTGCAAAAACCTCATTACAAAAGAACAGCATCGAGGCAACATCCAGAAGTTTCTCTGCCTAATGGTTAGAGAACCAGAATGACACCAGGTTGCATTAAAAAAATGCTCACTTTAAAGTCACAGTGTTTTATGAGGTTTGTGTGAAAGAAATTTTTCTGTTTGGATACTTTAGCATTAAAATAAATTATTATTGCAACATTTCTTCAGTTTCACAAGGACTCACTTCAGTTACTACCACAGAATAAAGTGGGGATTGAAATATATATATATGTATGTATCTAGGTGTATATTTTGCAGATAACATTTTCAATAAATTTCCAGTATGAGAATACCTGTATGAGCTGTGTAATTTATTGCAGTGATTCCTCTTAAGGTGCTTCTCAAAAGAGAAGGAAATATTTCCCTCCATTTCTGTCCATACTTTAAACACAGCAGTGATGGGAATATTCCTCTTACTGTCAAACTGTTGTCTGCTCTTTCAGGTTGGCACAGCAGGGTTTTGGTAACAGGTTCTGGGGGCTGCAGGGGTGGCTTCAGTGAGAAATTTCCCAAAGCTTCCCTATGTCTGAGATCCACCCTCAGCCCAGGGAGGACCCCACACCAGAGCGGGAGGATGCCCAAAGGAGGTTGTGTTCCCATGGGATGCCTGCACTGGAGCAGGGGAAGAGAGGGAAGAGTCCTTTTTTCTGAGGAGGAAAGAGCAGCAGGGACAACGTGTGACAAACTGCCTACAATCCCTCTTCCTTGTCCTCCTCCACCTCTTCTGGTGAGGAGTTGGAGAAAACAGGGAATGAATTGTGCCTGGGAAGAAGTGAGGATGGGAGGAATTGAGGATTGGTTTTAAACAAACACTCCTGATTGGATTGGTTGTAAATGAAGCTGATTTCCACAATCAGTTGTTTTGCCCGTGACAGTAACAGGTGAGTGATCTCTCCCTGTCTTTGTCCCAATCCACAAGCCCTTCCTTGTACTTTTCTCTCCTCTGTCCAGCCGAGGAGAGCAGTGATGGAGCAGCTTTGGTGGGCACCTGGAGCCCAGCCAGGGCTCAACCCTCCACACCCTTGCAATGCCCAAATCCCATGGGATTGGGCTGACAGCAGAGGGATCAGACATTCCTTCCTGCCCTGTCAGCAATTTCACTCCTGCCTTGGCTGGCAGGCTGCCAAAGAGAACATCCACTCAGTCACAAATTCCAGCAGCCTTGATATTTTCTTTCTTTATGGTAATATCAAAGTTACCAAGGGCTTTAAGGTCATTTAGACTTATACAGAAAGGCTGTTCCTTGCTTACTCCTAGAATTGTAAATGAAAGAGCACAGATACATTATCATTAGATCAGACCTTATCTAAAGCAGGCTGGGGGACTGTTCAGAGGAACAGATATTGCCTTAGAACTGGAAAATAAATGCTTGAAAGGAAAGCTTTATGCACACACTTTGAATTTTAAAAGTCACTGTTGTTCCTTTTCACTTGTACTTGGTTTGTTTTAAATAGAGAACATAAGTGAGCCCTTCTTAAATTAACAGTTCTGAAAAACTACCTTCACTTTTCCTCACTGGATGTAAAGTGTAAGGGAAAACCAGCATCAACCCTGGGAATAAACCAGGGAATCACAGCAAAACCCAGAAACAATAAATACATTATATTTTAATTACAGTAATTGTGTGAGTCTATCATTGAGCAATTGCTGTTCCCCACAGCTGATCCAAACCCTGCTCTGTGCTCTGCCCTGGGAATGAACACCCGAGTTTTGGGGTCTCCTGCTCCCATTTGCAATGCAGAGCATCCCCCTGGGGAGCCCTCAGAACAGACACCTCCTGGTGTCTCCACATCTCGGAATGTGCTGGGGCAAGAAAACACTCGGTGGAAAGTAATTACATCCAAATTAAAGTATCTGAGCAACAGCACCGGGGCCACCTTATTTTGTAATGTAGTTCAACAGTGCAGCTTGCCCAGTAGATCACTGATAGGGATGAAGCCCTCAGAAAGGATACAGCAAGAATTCCTCTCCCCAGCCAGGTGAAAAATAAGTTTCTTTAGTAACAGACTGGGGTGAACTGTCTTTAAAATGTACCTTGTAAACTGTGTCTGCTCAGGGTCAGTGATTTTAAAGCTGCTAAACTCAAAGTCTTTGCCTGCTTGTCCTGAGACAGCCAGGGATGTGGCTGCAGCTCTGTGAGGTGGGGGTGAGGTTTTTTCCCCTTCTATTGCAGTGAAATCATGGAAGCAAAGCTCCAGCTCAGACCTGCCCAGACCCACCTCCCCTCCTCCTGCAGCTCAGGCTTCCCCCAACCCCTCCTGCACCACTTGGGATGTCCCTGTGACGTGGCTGGAATAAAATCAACTTCCAGCTGGAGAATCAAAGGTACTGGTACACAAACCTTTCTCGGGCGTCTTAAATAAAACCCATAAAAGTTCTGGCCATAAAAATGTTGACACAGAACATTCATTTGTAAGACATTTTGGGGGCAGCAGGAAACGTGCAAAGTCCACTTACTCCAAGGTGGGTTTGGCCTGTGACCACCCATAAAGGCTGTGGACGTCAAAGTGCCTGACTTGGGTCCCATCTGGGAGCTGCTGTACACCTTCCATGCATGGAGTTTTTAAGGTTAATCCTTCTGACCTGTTTCCCAAATCTTGTGAAAAAGGAAGAAAAAGATTTATCATTCATTAATAATAAGCACGCAATTTTTTCCTTAATTTTCATGATCTATTAGGCTTTCAATCTCCATCAGGCATTTATTTATTTGTTCATTTTTAGTTATAAAAATAGCATTTCCAAAATGGAATATTTCCAATATTCCTAGGTAGGCATTTGGGTCTGTAAATGTTTTAATAGTTTATTACAGATGTTCTTACTGAAGAGGCTCAGAGAGTAAACAGATTATATCAGAAAATATTCCAAACCTTTGTAAACATTGTCATAACACCCATATAAACCAGAAAAATGGGTTTGGTGGGGGTGTGGTCTGCATCTGACTATTAATTTCCTGAAAAGTCTTGAGAAATTATTCATAAAAATGGAATACAACAGTAAGCAACAAGAGTATGTTAATAGACGATCAATAAATAATTCCTAATTAGTACTACTTTACACCAGTTCTTCAGTGAAGCCAAGCTAAGAAAGCAAAGCATTTCAAGCATTTGACTGCACAGATAAATGGTAATTAGAGGAGACACATGGATATTTTCTAAATTTTTAATTAATTGCATTATTCATCTGAGAAAACTGCAAAACACAGAGCTACATTCTGTGCCGTGCCTCGAGCAAAGCACTTAGATATTAAATAGGTATCAAAATCCACGTTCAAGCGAGGAGCTGAAAATAACTTTATTCTGAGGAAGTGCCACGCTATTGCTGCTCCCACTGAAACAGCTGCCCAGAACCTCAGAAATAAAGGGTCATGTTCAGTGAGGGGCTGTGGGTTTATATTCCCATCTTTATTTAGGGTTTTGCACCCCATATGACAGGTAAGAAATGACGTGGTAACAGAACTGCTTTAAGGA